TGGGAACCACCCTATTTGTTATGTTGTGACCTTAAGATCACTGGTGGAAGATAGTAGTTTAAAGCCTAGACTTGATACCTGCATGATTATGGGCAAATCACTTAATGTCTCATTCTCAGGATCACAGGATTTAGTGCTGAGAGAAACCTTAGAGACCATTTCGTCCAAGGGTTTCCAGTCTTGGAATATGTATATCAACAGAGAATAGGACAAGCTTGGTAAGGGGGTAAGGCGGGGAATGAGTTAATCTTTTTACATTTTTTCTTATGGGTAATATGCATGGTAAACTCTAGCATTATTTACTTTCCTATTGAAAAGGGAGTATCAGAGAGATTTTTGAAAACCAAGTGTTTGGGTACTAGAAAAGGTTGGGAACCTGTAACCTGGTCCTACTACTTCATTTTACAGGTGAGGAAATTGAAAAGGAAAGAGCCTAACAGACTTGTCCAAGGTTTCCTTTCTTATAAAATTAAAACATCAATACTTGCACTCCCTACCACATAGGGCAAGGTTTTTGTAAACTGCAGAACGTTGTAGAACTCTGATTTATCATATGAACTAATCGATTACTCCAATGAAGTGCTGCTTAGAATCTGGAGACCATGAATTCCCAACTTATGCCAAAAGAGAACAAGGCTGTGGTAGGCATGACAACTAACATGCTGTGATACTGTGATTTGAAGTGTTGTTAACATTCCAACCTCTTCTTAGCCTATGCTCTGGAGTGTAGAGGGACTGAAAATATTTACTTTCTGGGACCTAAAATAATCTCTCTAGCTAAAATGGCCAATCATCTAGAAAAAGTAGAAATGATGAATGCCAAGTTCTAACTGTTCTATATGACAGTTCCCAAGAGGGAATCTTTAAATATTTAATTATTAAAACCCTTGAAAATATGTTCTAGCTGCCATTCAGAATAACACTGGCTAGCCCCAAGAACCTCCTGAGATTGATCAATTTTTTTCCCATAGTCACAGAAAACAAACCAACCAAAACCAGGGCTTCTCCTTAGTTCCTAAGGCATTGCATCTTCCCTTTAGAATTTTTGGTGAGTATTCCATAGTGTTTGTACTTTCAGATAACTTATTTTCTATCGTTCATTTGTCTTTCAATGTTAACATAAATACTGGTGAGAGAATGCCAACTTTAGAATCAGTGAAACTTGGGTCCAATTCTTACCACTGTCCCATGGTGGTTGTGAGGCCTGTACAAAGCCACTTCACCTTTCAGAGCTTAGGCAATTCCATGAGATTGTAAAGGGCCATTTGAATTCAATAGAGGGTGTCCCCATTCTATGAATTGTTTCCATTCTGATGAGGACTCCAAAAAAATGGGGAAGGGGCAGGGCCAATTTTTAATGTTCTGTTGGTGAGTTAAAATAGGAAAAGGGTTAGAGTGTAGAACAACCTCCAAGATTTTCTTAACTCCAATCTCCCTTCATTCACTTCCCATGGCCAGTCTTGTCAATTTTTTACTTCAATGATATCTTTCTCATTCACCGCTTTCCATCATTACCTCTAGTCTGCCTTAATGCTACAGCGTCCTAATTGGTCTCTGTTCCTCACATCTCTTCCCCCTCTCTAATCTATCCTCCACACAGCTCCCAAGGTAATATTTCTAAAGGGCAGGTCTAACTAACTATGCCACTCCCTTACTCAATAACACACCCCTGTTGTCTCTATGATAAAATTCTAACCTGTTTGGTATTGAAAGCCCTTCCCAAACTGGATCCAACCTACTTTTTCAGGCATATTACATACTTTTTTATACTCTGTGATCCAGCCAAACTAGACTTCTTTCTTTTCCTCAGCACAGACACTCCATTTCCTATCTTCGTCCTTTTACACAGACCATACCCTTTCTTACCTGTGCCCTCCATTCATATAATGCATTTTTGTCTCACCTCTGTAGCTTAGATTATTTTATTTACTTTCAAGTCCAGGTGAAGCATCCCCTCCTGTGTGAGACCTGCCTTGATCCCCAGCTGCTAGTGGCTTCCCCCCAAATTACCTTGATATGTGCACATTCTTCCTGCCAATAGAATGTAAGCTCCTTTAGGGCTGAAGCTATGACAGCTTTGTATTTGTACCTCACCACCTAGTGGGCCTACTTGGCACAGATGCTGCTAAGTGCTTGTTCATCCATTGCTTGCCTGAGTGAAACTTGGTTATTTTTGTTTTTTAAATAGTACTATGTTTGGAAATATAGAAAACCTACAAAGAGATTTCCTTCCATTTACATTATATATAGATGTTTTATATATCACATATAAGTGCATGTATTTACATAGATATTTGCATATTGTCTTCTCCATTAGAATGTGAACTACTTGAGGGCAGGAACCATTTTGTGTCATTAGCGTTTAGTACAATCAGTAAGTACTTAGTACAATGCCTGGTATATAGTCTGTATGTATGTGCGTATATATATATGTATGTGTATATACATATATGTATATACATATATGTACATATGTGCAATGTATGTATATATGTGTGTATATGTGTGTGTATGTGTATATATCTATATCTATATAAAATTCATATTGACTGCCTGACTTAGGCACTATATGATTTTTCTCTTTGTATTTCTAGCCCTAGCACAGTGCTTATTGACACAAAGTAGGCAATTCATAAATGCTTGGTGATTGTATTAAATTTTCTTTTTTGTGGCTAAAAATATATTGCCTGTCCCAATTCAGAAATACAGGAATAGATCTCACTTCTATCCTGGCAACAAGAGCCTCTTGGACTTACTCTATCAGTGGCTACTACTTCTTCAGCTATAGACACTGATATCACCCTACCCCTGAACACTGGAAATCAGACCCCCTCTGGAAACCTCAATTACAAAAGCCCCCAGTGAAGCCACCTTAGCTTCTATTGTTAGAGCTTCTACCTTTGAGACGTTTGAAGCCCACACCATTTCACGTCTCTGCCCCTGTGACATACTGCCCTTTCCATGCTCAGAAGAAGAATTCTAGAACTCAAAAGGTAGGCACTTCTGAACAGAGGCTTTATAGGCTTTCCCTGTGACGTCTCAAGGTGGTACTTGATTATTTGATTGGTACCAATTAAAGACTGCTCATAAGTAGTTAATCTTTGAAGTATAGGTTCTGGACAGTTGTTTGTAGTCAGAAATTGTTGATGTTCTGTTTGGACTGTATTTTGATCACATCTTAGAGGAGCCATTTTCCAATTGATTTTTGGCTTTATATTTATAGTAGTAAAGCACTAATCTATTTTGTCTCATCATTTATGGCAAATTATTTTTCTTTTATTAATCTCTCCCTCCCACTCACTCACTCCTCCTTGAGCAATTAAAAAAGAACACACTGAAAAATAAAGTCCTCAATACCCAGTCATATAGTTCTACAAAATAAATTCATGGCAATTTATAAAACTGGCAATATAATAATTTCCAATCATGTTTCTGATCATTCAGTTACTTCTGATCATACGTAGTATAGCAGTCAAGATATGTCCTCCCTTGGGGCAGCTTGGTGGTGCAGTGGATAGAGCACTGCCCCTGGAGTCAAGAGGACTTGAGTTCAAATCCAGCCTCAGACACTTGATACTTACTAGCTGTATGACCTTGGGCAAGTCACTTCACCTCATTGCCTAGCCCCCCCCCCAAAAAAAGGTATGTCCTCCCATTTATGTGCTCCATTATAGCATTGATCAGTGGTTAGCTTGCCCATTAATTTCAGTAACTATCTGAAGAGTCTTCATTTTCACATGAAATTCCACGAATAGATACAGGATGGTAATGATGGAGGCAGAAATCATGAATACGTAAAAATCACATTATGCATATGAGAAAGTAAGATGTTGACTCTTTTAGGTGATTTGCAGAATCATTTTGTGGGTTGGCTCAAGCATTTAAGAGTTTAAAACTCAATTGCAAGTTACCTTTTACAGAAACCTGGTGTGGGCATGAGTGACCTTATAGAAGGCACTTTGTCATCCAAATCTAACCCTCCAAATCTGTAGCCCTGTTTGCTTGTAAGTCTCTTCTGAGTGCTAAGTTTTCTCAGTTTCAATGAAGATCTTCACTTTTTTAGAATTGAAATATTTTCAAGGTTTTTAGCATATGATATTACTCTCTTATACCCCCGTCATACACACATACTTGTGAGTGTGTGCAGACACATGCACACACACATGCATGCGCACTCACACACATACTCCTGCCCCATTCTCTTGTATTCCATCTTGTTATATTTACACGAAGCTGTTACATGATTGCTCACCTTGAGCCAGCTACTCACCTCCTTTTATTACATCTGCTGTGTAACACGATCAGTTTTCTCTGTCATTAGTAAAGCCAAAATAAAAAGGAAGCACAATTCACATTCATTTGGTTATTCCTGTATGTGTTCTGACAACATACTTAGCTTAGCAACACTTGCTTTTAATGGAGTGCCTGACATTTCTTCAGGCTTTACAAAGGGGGTGGGGGGAGAAGCCCCACCTGTCATTGACCCATGATAATGCATTCAGCATGAACCGAAGGACCAGGAGCCCTGAGACACATGCTTGAAGCATATCTCCTGAACATTTCAAAAGCCGTGTTCAGTCTATTGTGGAATGTGTGTTCGTCATGTCTCACAAATTCCAGGTGCCCAGAGTGTGGGTTTTCAAATCTTGTTATTGTCTGACCGCAGTTTCATCACAAAGTAAAATAAAGCAGAGATGAAGAAAACAGTTGGCCTCAAGCTTTGAGCTGATGTTTTTGTTTGCCTTCCTCAGCTTGTTCTGAGACTCTGTGTGTGTGTGTGTGTATTTACTTTACGAGACCTTTGTTATGAAGTGAAAGGTGTAGCTTAGGGTGATAAAAGAGTGCCAGGCTGTGGTTCTCAAGGCATGGTACTTTTCTAAGCTGATGGATTATTAAATGCATTAGTCACTGTTGTAGTATTAAAATGTTTTCTTCAGCTCTAGAGATGTTTCAACCTTTTATCTGACAATACCTTTTTTTTTCTTCTTGCACCAATCCAGTGTTACACACCCAAGGTCCAATTGATGGCAGCCTTTATGCTAAAGTGAGAAAGAAGAGCATCTCTGACAACAATATCCCTAGTGGGACCCAGGTCGTTCCAGTAACCAGCAGCCCTGATCACAGTGACCATACCTTGTCTGTTAGCAGTGATTCAGGCCACTCCACTGCCTCGGTCAGGACAGACAAGACTGAAGAGCGCTCGGCTCCAGGCACCAAAAGAGGATTGAGCCCACAAGAAAAGGCAGAACTGGACCAGCTCCTCAGTGGGTTTGGATTGGAAGACTCTGTGAGCTCCCCAAAGGATATGACTGATGTCCGAAGTAAGTATAGTGGGACTCGTCACGTAGTGCCAGCCCAGGTTCACGTGAATGGAGATTCCAAGCTGAAAGACAGAGAGACAGACATCTTAGATGATGAGATGCCCAATCATGACTTACGCAGTGTGGACAGTATTGGGACTTTGTCCTCTTCAGAAGGTCAACACTCCAGCCACCTTGGAAACTTTACCTGCCATAAAAGTAGTCAAAATTCTCTCTTATCAGATGGCTTTGGGAGCAACACTGGGGAAGACCACCACGTTGCCCTTGCTCCAGACCTGGGCATAGGTGTAGATCCCCTTTATGAGAGATCATTTGGAAATGGTGAGCCCAAGCAGGTTCAGCAGCTCTTGAGGAACCCTACGGTGTCGTCTCAGGCACCAGCCTATGGACAGGGCAACTATTCCACTCAGACCTGGGTGCGCCAACAACAACTAGTGGCAGCACATCAGTACAGCTATGCAACAGATAGTGAGGGGAGGTTTGCCATCCACAACTCTTCGGAGAATTCTAGCTATGTTCCGGCCCAGCCCAGGATCCCCCTCACTCCCACAAGAGGCTCCAGCAGCAGGGATGCTGTGCAGAGGAGCTTAGGTAGTATATCAAATGCTAATGAAGTACCCCAGCACTCTTACCCGGAAGGTTTCAAACCTAGGTTAACGCCAGAGAAAGAGATAAATGGGGTTGATATGGGATTGAATGCAGGAATTTTACCAGGGTCTCCAACTCTGGATATTGACCAATCCATTGAACAGCTCAATAGGCTGATCTTGGAACTAGACCCAACATTTGAGCCCATCCCAACTCATATGAATACCATGACAAGTCAAGCAAATGGATCTGCGTCCCCTGACAGCAAAGTAGGAGGAGGACTGCGGGGGAACCACAGATTTCTTGAGAAAGGAGAGAACATAAGCAGGAATTCCAGCCAACATGGTAAGTTGTTGTAGTCATGTGCTACTGGAATGCCTTACTCATGTTGTTCTTTTAGTTTTTACAGGAGAAATTTTGGGTATCTCTTGTTCGATTATGTGACTATCAGTAGTAAAAGTAGTAAGAGAGCATTTTTCTCAGAATGTTATTTGATCATAATTTATGACACAAGAGGATGCAGTGGGGCAGAATGGGAGGAATGTTTCATTGAGAGTCAAAAGGCCTGGCTTCTGGGTCCATCTCTGCCAACTTCTCAGTGGTAGGACCTTTTTGGACCATACTTTCTTCATTTGCACAATATTGCTAATCATATCAGCTAATGATATCTACCCCATAGACCTCACAGGAATATTTTGAAGATTGAGGAGGACGATGGATGTGAAAACATTTTTAACGTGCAAGATTAATGCAGGTATAAGGTCCTGTTCTTATTAGAGAGATAGTTGAGCAATAATCATTTTTTACAGCATTGTTATAATGATTATAATTCACTTATTCTGAGGTTTAAAAAGACAAATTCCAGGGAGTTGCCTGGTTAAGTAATTTGCCCAGGATAATAATATTAAGAAGTACCAGAGGCAAGATTGAACCTTGGTCCTTTTTCTTCTCCCCACTTTTACCCTATGTTAAAATTCTCTCCCTGTTATCTCACTCATTTAAAAGAAGTTTGGAGGGAACATGGTCATTTAACAGACTTTTTTTTCCCCTTTGAATAAACTGGTTCTCATGTTTAAGAAGAAGAACCAAGCCAAAAAGAGTCATCCACAAGAGAGCATATTCCTTCAGGAATGAATGTGTATACGTACTCTGAAGTGAAAAGGATATGGCAAAAGTGCATGGTGGCCTCATCCATTTTGGGATTTGCTGGAGTGCACAGCCTGGAGCTCGATGTTTTTTCTATTAGGAAATGTCAGAACTGAATTGTTACCAGGCCCCTTCAAATCATCCAATAATAAGCTTTATCTTAATTATAAATTATCCTGAATATTTTAAGACATTAAGAATTTAAAATTGTGATATTTATGGGTATCTCAAGATGAAAATTGAGTAAGAAAAGGAAATAAAAAGAGAAGAGTAATGTGGTAGTGGAAAGATTTCGGGGATGAAGTGAAAAATTACTTTTATATTCAAAGGTTTCAAACAGTGATGATGGTAATAAAGATATAGAGAATTTTTCACTGTTAATAAATATAGGCTTAGCCAAAGCATTCATTTGAATTATGTTCATAGTAAAGAAAACGTTAAGATTCTATCACATTTTCACTAGTTATTTGGGAGACCATTTAGAACTAGAAGGATAGCATGAAAACATACTTTGTACACCCTAAAGTGCTATATAAATATCATAGTTATTATAATTCTTGTTTGATAAAATCTGAACAGAAGGCTTAGCACCACAGAAGTTACCAACAGCTAGCGTGTATCCTGGGAAGTTGTCAAGCTAAAAGTTTTCCTGGGACATTACTATGGAATATAATCTCTCTTAAAAGGAAGTAACTTGCTTAAGAAATAAGTATTCCATGCATGATGACAATGGAATGTTGAGCATTGGACCAAGAATCATACTGGGTGATACTAGAAGGTACAAAGTTGGCTGAGTTTCAGGAGCAGCTTCACACTTCCCTTTTCCATCACATTCTTTCTGGGTAGAAACACAATCATAAGAACATTTTAATTTCTAGCTATAAAACACAAGGCTGGCCAGTCACTACTACTAGATTAAAATCTCCATGATAATATGGGACCATGCCTTCTCTAAACTTTGCATGTTCTCCTGCCATCTACCTCCAGCACAGCATAGTGCTCTGCATCCAGTAGGTGCTTAATAAATATTTGCTAAATGAAAAGATTGAAAGAATTGAATGCATGGGAGAACATGCATAGTCACGTGTCTGGCACTTAATAAATGCTAATTGATTGATAACTGGTTATTTCAGAATCCAGGATCTTTTGATCATGAGTGGGTACTCCCACCACTGAGGCTGATTACTACCCCTCCATGATTTATAATTTAATCCTTTATTAATTTCACTGGTTAAAAAATACTTTCTTAGCTTAGTAGTACTCAGGATAGCCTTTAAGAATCTAGCATCAACCTCAAGGCATAATGTAGCATCTGAATTAGGTGGGAGGATCCGATAGTCTAACGTGATTATTTTCAAGACTCAATTTGCATAATTTTTAATGTAACAAGGCAAAAATGGCATGAATAGAAGAAAGGGTTAGGTAGCATAAAAAGTGAGGTAGCTAAACATCTGATTACAAGTGTCTGGAACACGTTCAGAGACTTTGGAGATAATGAGAAAACCTGTGCTTTGAAGGGGTTCCAAATACTTTTGAAATGTATCAAATTTAGTGTGGGGCACAGGTGAGCCTTGTTGTTTTTTTTTTTTTAGAGGATGGTATGTTGAGCTCTTACAAATGGAACTCTCAGTTCTATTATGTTTAGTGAAAGGTTTTGCTCATCCGAAAGGCTTTGTGAAAACATAACAGAGAACTACCCCTCCCTGTCTAGCTCGGATTCTAGAGCCCTGATCTTATGTGTACAGAGGAATACCTGTGGAGACCAGGCCCTGCTGTCTTCTACGGAGGTATAATATTCTGAGAATCACAGGATCACAAATGTGGAGAAGGAAGGGACCTTGAAGACCATCTTATTAAATAGTCTTGTTCTATGGACAAAGAAACTGAGTCCTAAGGAGACTCAGTGATTTACCCAAGGTCACCATGGAAATATTCATGAGGGGTAAAATATGAAGCCAGGTCCTCTGACTTCTCCAATGGATGAGTTCCTCCCTGAACTTCCACTTTGAGGAATAGTCCAGGCTAGCTATCCATCATTCCCCAGACTTCCCCACCATGCCTCTGGGTGGGTATCATCCCACCCCCTACCCTTTCAGCTTTCTTTCTCCATTCAAGTGTAAATTCTATGGATTCAAGGATTGTCTTTCTTTGTGTTTTGTGTCTCCAGAGCTTAGTACAATGCCTAGCACATAGTAAGTGCTTAATAAATGCTTCATGACTCTGACTCTAGAGTTACTGCTTTTTCACTGTCCCATACTACTTTCCATAATACTGCCTAACAATAGTGAACGTGATTATTTTCTTAAAAACACACTCTCTTAGTGCCTACAAGTCTCCATTCTTGATAGCATTTACATTTCTTTATAGATCGTTGAAATTCAGCATGTTTATTGGAGCCAGAAATAAATTGGATGAATTAATCTTAAATAGATTATGACAGTACCTCAAGGCCCTGTGATTTCTTTGGTTGAGATTGTTTTCTCCAACCACATGGATCCCAGAGACTCCATACCTTCATTATGGTGTCCTTGAATTGCTCTGGCCAGATGATGGCCTACCCTCAGTAGAAGAGTTTCTTTGACTTGGACTGGTACTGAGACAGATAGCTGGACCCATATTCAAGTCCTTCTAGCTTATCTGCCAGAACCTCCCCCTCTGCTGGAAAATTCTTCACTTCCATGCTGAGATAACAGAGGTGGAGAGAATTTTGTGTCTCAGGCCAATGAGCAAAAACAGTTCAGATAAAATGTAAGGTTTTTTGTTTGTTTTTACATACTTCTCACTTGAGTGGAAGTTAAGTTACTACATCTATTTCTTAGCATTTTTTGGCCCTGGATTCCCACTCTTCCTTTATCTTAGAAACTCTTGAATTGTAGTTTATTCTGACTGTAGATATTTGAGGGAGTATGGTAGGTGGTAGAGTAGATAGAGTATTGGATTTGGAGGCAGAAAAAATAAAGTATCACCTTGAAAGAGAAGAGTAATAATAATTATAATGACAGTAATAATATTTATTGTTGTTCAGTCCTTTACAGTTGTGTCCAACTCTTTGTGACCCCATGTGGGGTTTTCTTAGCAAAGATATTGGAGTAGTTTGCCATCTCCAGCTCATTTTATGGTTGAGGAAACTGAGTGAAACTGGATTAAGTGACTTGCCCAGGGTCACAGAGCTAGTATTTGGCCAGATTTGAACTCAGGAAGATGAGTATTTTTGACTCCAGGCCCAGCACTCTATGTACTGCGCCACCTAGCTGCACTTATATAGTGCTTTAAGATTTGTAGAACACTTTTCAAATATTATTTTATCCTTACAACAACCCTGCAAGTTAAAGGCTATGATTACATTCATTTAGAGATGAGGAAACTGAGGCAAATTCCCCATGCACATTAAAATACCTGTGGTGTCTCACATTTACATGTGCATTACAGTTTTGTAAAATGCTATGAAGTAAGTAGTAAGAATTTTTCCAATTTTTAATCATAATATATGATTTTCAATATTTGTAATGGATAAAACATGGGACATGGAGTCAGGAAAACTTGATTTTAAATCACATGTCAGATATTTGCCCTGTGACTCAGGGTAAGTAACTTATCTCAGTCTCAGGGTCTTCATCTGTAAAACAATAACAACTACCTTCTAGGGTTGTTGGGTGGGTAAAATAAGCTAATATATCAAAATAATTTTGCTAGCCTTAAAGCACTCTACAAAGGCTAGCTGTTATTATTATCATTAGTAGTAGTAGTAGTAGTAGTAGTAGTAGTAGTAGTAGTAGTAGTAGTAGTAGTAGTAGTAATAGTAATGGTAGTTAAAATCGTTGTAGTCATAGTCGTAGTTATAGTATATTTATTTCACCATTACAGAGTTTGGTATGTTATGATATTCCCTAGGTCAGACCTCCCCAAATAAGGCTAAATTTTAAAATATCTGTTACAGAGATTGACCATGGTTGCCAATTGCTGACAGGTAGCATGATTTAATAGATGGAACAATTGGACTCTCTTATTAGCTGTGTGATGCTAGGTGAGTCATTTAATGGCTCTGTATTTCTTCAGTTTTGTCATTTGTAAAAGGAGGGCATTGTACTGGATGATCTTTAACATCCCCTCTAGCTCTGATCCTGTGAATTGTTGACTATTTTTCTAAATTTTAAATCTTTTCAGGTAATGACTGAGTTACAGTGTAAATACTAAATCAC